AATAACGACGATCAATGGCTCCGATTATTTGTTAGGTAATTGATGATTATTGCCTGTCACTTGGCCCTTGATGGGACTAGATTGACAAAGGGATATAGGCCCGCTCTAGATGAGATAAAATTAAGGATGCTAATCAATCTTATCAAATTCTATACTAATGCTAGCACGCGATCGGCACACGTGGCCAATTGGCGCTCTTTCGTGCGCATTCTTGATTCGAGAAAGATACGGTAGAGCGAAAAGGAAGATAAATTTTGGAGAAAAATTCCATTCAAAAAATTCCAAATCCAATTTTGGAGAAAGCCGCTCCTGAGTTACTTCCTTCCAAGCCAGAGATCAAGCCCGCTCCGGATTACTTCCTTCCAAGCCAAGATGGACTATAGAAAACGCGGAAGCGACAACGTGGAATAGCACACTAGTTAGCCTGCATATTCCACCAAAATCATCGTTTTCAAAGGCTTGAAAGCTTTTTGAATCATCCTTAAATGTTACCTATCCGCCTCTCTCAGACCTGCACTCAACCAAACGTCACCTAGTCTAACTAGGACTAGGGAATGGAATCCAAAGAACGATTAGTTAGCTTTACTTATCTTTCGCATTTGCTCTAGGCTAAGCTCTCGCAAAGCAAGAAGATAGTTTTCCTTTCCACATTAAGCACTGAACAGAAAAAACCTTCATCTAGCCAATCCTGGATTATTTTCTTCCCAGGCATTGAAGCCTTCAGGGCACAATGTGAAGCTGAAGTCTTGTGCTGGCGTTCGCCCTTTCATTTTTCACTGGGATTAGGGGGCTTTTTGAGGCAAACAATTTGGAGCGAAGGACATTCTGCGCAGCTCATCCACCCTTCATTATTTTTTGAATCATTAGGCAACTAAGAAAATGCCTCAAAGGATAAATAGTTTAGCAGTAACGCACAAGCGAAGCTTCTGGAATGATGTAACCATCCTCTGCTATTCCAAAGATTGATTCCTCACCAACTAAGCTCTGCATACCTCTGGAATCACCTAGTTCTTGTCTTACTTGTTCAGAGACTCACTAAGCTCAGATTTACCAAGGCCTAGTCCAGATCATTGTAATTTTTGAGACATTCAAATATTTTTGCACTTCTGAACGGTATTAAGATGGATGCATGGCTTACTACCAGCGGAAAAACCTATGTTAGAAGCTTTATACTTTCTATCCATAAAAGTATTTTCGGAGGCACTCGCATAACATGCTCCACTCAAAGCTAACACTGACTGCTGACAAGTGGTACACAATGGCAAAAGGCGCTGCTGTTGCGTTAACTTGATCCGATGAGCTCGCTCATCAGTTTAGAGGGCGGACTCGTGACGAGCCGAACATTCATCTTACGGCGATATGGTACGGTGCTTGACGTTCCGACCAACAAGCCAAAAGTCATTGGAACAAACACCTTGTCCCAATAACCATCCATAGACTCGATAAATGGCATGATCGAGTTTGAGGGCGGCATATATACGGTGTATTCCTTAGGAAAGAACATGCCGACGATGTAAACTGGGTTTCAAAGGTGAATTTCACAGATGAGGCTTTTTTAGAACTCCTGCGCTTAAAAATTATTTCCTTTTTCTCTTGCTTTCACATCTCAATGTTCTCTCTTTTACCTTCATCAAAGGCACTCTCGTTGCCGCAGTTTTTCAACCGGAAATAGCAAGAACCTTTCAGGCCTTGAGGAATCGAAAGCACTATAAAGTTAGCGGCGAAAAGTCGCTTTTGGGTTGCGGTGACGTTGAGCGATTTTTGCCCGGAAGGGCTGGGAAAACTTCTTCTTGGAGTTGAGCTGGGTTTTACTCGGGAGCGATAACTTTACTCTCGGCTATGAATCGTATAGAATTTCACTCACTCGCTTCCAATCTGCACCCTTTATCGGAAGGAGAGAAGGTTTACTTTCATTCTGATATTGCCAGCCACTCTTCCAAGAAGTGAATTACCTGGAAGCGGGTCTCAGATGGAAACCCTGCGAGGTGCTTGTTGTCACTTGGTGATTACCCCCACGTGCGGAGTGGCGGTGTTTACACATGGACGTATAATCAGCGTCTCCGGTTTCCGGATACGAGATCGAGTGCAGCAGAACAGCCGTCTTGGATGGACGGCTGTCATTGCGTGGCACATCGCCTAAGAGCTTGCCCGTCCGCCGCCGCCGTCGTCCCTCACCACTCACCACAACTACTATGGGACTGCCCGGCGGGTGAATTAGACAAGACGGATCGATTTCCCGCTTGCGAAACACCCCGCTGCCTCCATAAATATGGGGAAAAGCTGCCACCTAAAGAGACTACCGAGCAATCCCATGAAGCCACTCTGAGTGATGATTCATCCTCTCGGGAGAAGTTGGATGAGAAATTGCTCCAAATTGCCATCTCCGCGGGTTATGCTAATATTGGTCTAGGAAATAAAAAACACTGGGTCTATCGATCAACGACAGTCTTTTGCATTTTTGCATGCAAAAGACCGCCTACAAATCAGCCTTTATCGAATTGGCCTTTCCGACACTGATTAGAAACAAGGTGAGCGCGAGACCAAACAACACAGACAGCTGCCAATAAAGCGGAACTAACGGGTTCAAAACGAATCGGGCTCAAGGAGAAACCAGATTCGTCCCGTTTACAATGCTATGCCGCGTCTCGCTCATCCAGACTCGGGCAGAACATAGCCGAGAAAAACAAGGAATTGGCGATCGACAGAAAGAGCTTTTCTGCAACCACCACACAACCTCAGTCATCGTTCTGCTTATTTTTGACTTCCTATCCTGGTTTTTGAGCTCATTCTGCACCCTTATTTACTTCGATGCTGCTTATTATAGTCCACTTTGGATGAAGCCACACCTCGTTCAAGGTCGCTACCGAGTCGTTGTTGAGGTGGGGGCTAAACGATAAGTATGATTGCCATGACATCAATCACATGTTGCTGCATGGGTACGCCTGCTCGGGTGATCGCTTATGTTTCCGCAGCGTCGTTATCCCCTTGGAATCGCTTGTGTTTATAAGTCATCAGCACACATATAAGGCAAACTTATTGATTGAGTGGGAGATGAAAGAACTCAATTCAGAGGTGGGTTGTGTTTACAACACATCAGTGTGATCAGAAACGTGCCGCTGAGTGGATATGCGGAAACGCCGTCTTAAGCTGATTATGTCGGCGGGGAAAAACTTTATACATTACTACAAATTCCCACAATAAACAATGGATATGATTAATGACGCGCGGCAAAAACTGCAGATAACGGTCAACTTCAAAGCGGCCTCACAAATTCAGGGCAACTACGTAGAATCGCTGCGCTGAGAGTGAAAAACTTCATATGACAGATGCCACGGAAACCCAATTTCCCTCGTATAACACTATTGAGTACACACATAAACGCCCGTTCATGTGTTCCTAATTGGATCTCGAGCTCAAATGCCAATCGATGAAAAAACAACGTCCCATAACGTGTGATTCATTAACGGAACGGTGGTTTATCACCGCCCTGACTCACTGCAGATTTTTTTCATCGCCCAATTCTTTCGTACACAGGACATAACCATTAGATGAACGTACATGTGGAACGTTCACAAAGAACCCAGTCGTAACGACCCGAAGAGACTGATGGGAAAAACTGGTAGACAATAAGGAATGAACCGGAAGTCTGCTGGGAAACGATTTAGAACTGAAGACATAGAACCGATCGAATGGAAGATGTGTGAAACTCTTGGCTGTAGCTTAAGAACGTTTAATTGCTTCCTTTCAATGATGTGATACTAGAAAAGCCCAAACATGCACGAGAATTCAAGTTTTTTTTTTGCCCTGGACGGCAAGAAAAATGATTTGGGCGAGAACGAGTTTTTCGAGAACAATGCCTGATTCATCGAAATTTGAAAAAAAAACACTGTTTTTGACGATCTCTTTGTGCGCCATGCCAGCCAGGCGTTTGTGGAAATCGATGAACTATTCGCAAACTCGAGCAGGTGACGAAAAATTGGGTACTACTGCACTAATACGATCATCTTAAGAGCAAAGTGCAGCGAAAACATATTTTGCCGAAACCTCCCCTGGTCATTGATAATCCTGACGCCACAAAAATGGCAATTTTTGCGCAATGCTTTCGCCGTTGGAATGTAAGCACGATTAGGACCACAACCATTTTTGTAGAATAAACTTGAACAAAAACAATTTTCGACTCATTTTGTCACCAGCGGGGTTGAAACAGTGCTACCATAGAATCAAAGTTTAACTGACGTCAGGAGATTTTCTATATCATTTGGTTTCAAGATTCTTTACTCTCGCTCAGTAGCTTGATAAAGCTGCCTCACATCTGAGCAAGTGCTCGATAGACAGGCGGTTGGGGAAATCCAAGCAGAGCATGGGAATGTTGCTTTTTTAAAAGGCTCTAGGAGGAATCAACCGTGCACTCCCAGGAACAGCACTTCTTCTCAGCTGCACATAGCGCTGATAGGTGGAGGTTTTTCAAAAAGGAGAAAGAAAAATAAAAAAGTTGATATTTTCCTTCAAATTCCAAAACGTTTTATTTTGACTACACCTAACCTTGAATAAATAATTCAATTCTGTAATTCTGTTGAAAGAATAGAACTAACGATCCCCTCCCCCACTCGCGCTTACACTGGCCATCCCGATTCAAAAGGATCCAAACAAGATTCTCATGGAGGTAGGCCGATCGTAAATGTTACATTGAAAGGTATTGTTCCCCACTCCCACTGACACTCAAAAGAAATAACATTCATACACAACAAGTTGGGTATCCATCAAACAACACGTTCACATTCCTCACGGGACGCGCAATTAGGACCCCCAGGGCAAATGTGCGTGTGAGTGGGAGCGCCGCAATGCGAAATCAATAGGCGCCGAGCGACGGAAGACATACACACATACGTGCACAAAGATGAAGACCCCGAGGGTAATTATGAAGACGCGCACAGTGACGTCAGAAAAAGAGGAAAAACAAGAAAAAAATGTTAAAGAAGATAGATGACGACATAAGGAACTCACTTGGGAAGCAGAATCGAAAGCGAGGCCCAGTCCTCAATATGTGCTGGTCCACTGCAACCAAGGCCGGAATCTGGAGAATCTTCCTGAAGAAAAAACGGTGAATGGAAAGAATCGTGAGAGGAGAGAATTTATTTCTTGAAATGTTCAATAAGATGACCCATAGACTGGAAATAATCGGGCCAACAATTTGATTTCAAATTAAATACATCTAGGAGGGTTCCCGGCACCACTGGTGAGACTTGTTCCCAGGAGTTCTTCCAGCTTATTAGGTCGCAACTAGCCATACTATTGTGTGGAACTAGCTCCCAACGAGCTGGTAAGTTAATGGTGCGGACGGCGGAATCTCATAACAGGTTGGCACCGTTGAATACTGCATTACAATGCATAGCGACCGTTAAGCGCATGCTTCGGACGTCATTAACATTACTAAAGATTCTCTCCCGTATGAGAAGAAAGACCACATGCTTGTCGAGCTTATCAATCGAATAAGCAGGTAGGGTAAGTAAATCGCCCGATCGAGATCCTTACTGAATGCCCTAAGTGTAAAGTGCTTCGACCAGACGGGTTCTCGAACATCTGGAACTTGCCTGAAGCAACGATGGCAGTGGTAAATCTAGGTCGGACGTCAATGGAGGCATGCCCTCACGTTGAACTTTCAGCATCACATCACTTAAGGACATCGTCGACGACTCACATAATGTTGGAATCTGAACAGAAACAAGCTCATAAAAGTGTGACGCGTAAAATCGTAGACAACATTCTCATGAGGGAGTTGCACTCACCTGATGCGGAAGAGCGAGAAATCGCAGCTCGGGTGCGATTGACTTGTGCAAATCGGCGAACGTTCGTCGTGGTTTCGTCGGCGCCGACGTGCGGACGAAACTGCCACCGCTCGTCGGTGCTGACGACGCCGCCGGTCGGGCGGCTCTCCAGCGGTCCTGAGACGTGGAGGCGCTCGCCGCTTCGAGCTGAATCTCGTTGTCGTTGACGTCCACATAACGACCAACACCACCATTTTCGAGTTCACGGCCGACAAAATTCGCCAAAAGACTCGTCGGTCGTTGATTGTTGGCTGTAGTGGACGGCGTCGTAGGTGGACGGGTTACCACGTTTGGTGCACTGGAAACAAAACATTGAAGGGGAACTTTGCTCAAAAATCCAAAGGAAGGCTCATAGCTAAGGCCAACTGGGCCTTCTTTGGCCTTGGTTAAATACGGCCACAAAACGGTTGAGAGAAAAAACCAAGAAAGAAATTCCGAAAACTTCAAAAGCACTTAGCAGTAAGGGTCATGTGAACCCAAAAAGTTGAAGGTAGCTTTGAAGAC